TCCTTATATCAATTTATTCCTTACTGACTTTCCTTTATCAATAGGCCATCGTGTTACTCCTCTTTCTATATCCTGGTATTGCATTTATAGATATATTTTTAACGCACGCACACACACACACACACACACATACACACACACACACAGGGGATTCGTTTCCACTGAATTTCTAATAGTGTTAAGTACTCCTAGAATTATTGTTTACATGTTTACTTGTTGTGGGTTGGCTATTCCCCGCAAAAAAAAAAAAAGTAAATTTATTTTAGATAGATAAATAGATAGATAGATAGAAAAATAAATAGATAGATAGATAGAAAAATATATAGATCGATAAATAGAGAAAGAGAGATAGAGAGAGAGCTAAACCTTACTTAGGTATATATTCCTACGTGCTCAGAAATTACAATCTTATTTATAGCCGCGTGCTCGGCTTCAGTATATCCCGGAGGTTTCAGCTTGATTGGTTTTCATTTGTCAGGTCTCAGGAGCCAGTTAATTTAGACACAGTTATCAGTTTTCAGATTTATTTAGATAGATCAAATTATCCACATTTCAATTATCCAAAATCCAGTTATTCCTAATACACTTATCCAAAATCTGATATTTCGAGTTCATATATCCAGATTCCAGAATTCAATTACCCAAAAAGCATTTATTACAAATCCAGTTATTCCGAGTTCAATTACCCAAATCCAGTTATTCAGAGTCCAGTTATCCAGAATCCAGTTATTCCTAATCCACTTACCTAGAAACCGGTTAACCAAGTTCCAAATATCCCTAGTCCAGTTCCTTCTCGAGTCCGGTCACGCAGCATCCCATTCATCTTCTCAGGCCATATATAAACCCTGACACGGCCATTCCATCCCCATCGGCTGGAGAGGTAGACACCCGCTTTTGGCTGATTAGGTCTGCCGGGAAGACGATCTTGGGGCGCCCACCTGTGTTTGTGAGGGCGGATGATACGGTGTCCAGTTGTGTTTGTGAGGGAGGATAATGGAGTGTCCAGCTGTGTTTATGAGGGAGAGTGACCGGGGTGTCCAGATTTGTTTGTGGGGAAGGACGAAAGGGCATCCAACTATCTTTGTGAGGGATGATGAAGGGTTGTCCAGCTCTGTTTGTGAGAGAGGATGACGGAGTTTCCAGCTGTGTTTGTGAGGGAGGTTGACGTTGCGCCCAGATGTGTTTGTGAGGGAGGATGATGGCGTGTCCAGCTGTGTTTGTGAGGGAGGACGATGAGATGTGAAGCTGTGTTTGTGTGGGAGGATGATGGGGTGTCCAGCTGTGTTTGTGAGAGAATATGGAGGGGCGTCCAGTTTTGTTTGTGATGGAAGATTTAGGGGCGTCTTACTGTGCTTGTGTGAGTGGATGTAAAGGCGTCCATCTGTTTTAGTGAGGGATGATGACGGGCGCCCATTTTTGTTTGAGAGGAGATAATAGCTTCCAGCTGTGTTTGTGAGGGAAGACGTAGAGGCGTCCAGTTTTGTTTGTGATGGATGATTTAGGGGCGTCCTGCTGCGTTTGTGTGGATGGATGAAAAGACGTCCAGCTGTGTTACTGAGGGAGGATGATGGGGCATCCAGCTGTGTTTTGGGGTTTGCTTGTGCCTAGTCAAAGTGTTGGGTTAATCAACCCGGACCAGAGGTGATGAGCGCTGGGAGGGTGAGTGGAGTGGTCACAGGATTTCCTTTCCTCAGGCAGAGCGCATCGGTAAGAGAACCCTTCATTTATATTACCGATTTGTCTATATTATATTTTGTTGTTATTTGCTTATGTTTTGTTGGTTTAAGGTACATGTTTACGTTGATTGTTGAGGTGTTATGTTAATATGTCGGGTGTTATGAATGTTGTAGAATTTTAGCGAAATATTATATGTTGATATATTATTTAGGAGGACTCTACCCATGTCAAGGGCCCGGCGTGAGAGTCGTCAGTGTTCGACAGTCCTTGTCCTCAGGGGGACATATATCACCTGACTCGTCCAGTCGTGGGGACTCGCGGAGGTCAGGAGACAAGAGTTAACCGGATCCCAGTTCAGGGGCGACTTCAGTCTAACCCCATCCCTTGAGTATGCTGTTCGGGGAAGCTGGAGCTCCTCTGTACTCCGGTAGACCTCACGCCTCCATACACCACTACTGACAGGCTCGTCGGCAGAGCTATTGTATTGTACCCGATGTTCAGATGTCGGCAGATCATTATACCCGCCTCGTAACTTAATTATTATATTATTTTTGTGTGTATATTATTGTAAATATTTTGTTTATGGATTTTTTTTTCCTTTAGCACATCAGAATATATTAATCTACCATCAAAGATCCTATTTGGCTTTTGCAAAGGTGCATCCAGCTGTGTTTGTGAGGGAGGATGAGGGGGCGTCCAGCTGTGTTTGTAAGGGTTGTGTGGGAGGATAAAAGGGCATCCAGCTGTGTTTGTGTGGGAAGATGAAGGGGCATCCAGCTATGCTTGAATGGGAGGGTGAAGGGGTGTCCAGCTGTGCCTCTGTGGGAGGATGAAAGGGCGTCCGGCTTTGTTTGTGAGGGAAGATGGAGGAGCGTCCAGCTGCGTTTGTGAGGGAAGATGAAGGGGCGTCCAGTTGTGTTTGTGAGGAAGGATGACGGGGCGTCCAGTTGTGTCTGTGAGGGAGGATGAAGGGGCGTCCAGCTTTGTTTGTGAGGGAGGATGAAGGGGCGTCCAGTTGTGTTTGTGTGGAAGGATGACGGGGGGCCCTGCTGTGTCAGTGAGTGAGGGTGAAGGGGTGTTTAGCTGACGTTGGCCGGGGAGAATATAGAGTTGCGCCTATATATAAATATGTTTATTGCACGAAAGTTGAGATAAATTACTTTTGTTTTATTGACAGAGCGTATGATGAAAACATCCACTGTTTTTAGTTCATAGAGCATGATTCAATACATTATGATTTTTATTGGAAAGGATAATAATAGCTGTATTTTTAAAGTGATTTATGGTTATATCAACAGGTTTTGCATATTGGAGAATGAAAACAATGTTTATTTTTTCATGGAGGGGAATGATAATAATTGCTGATGTTTTGCTGGTTTCTACACTTGTTTTGTTTTTGAATTTGTTGGCATGAATTTTTCTCTTGAGGATATAAAGTAGAGTGAAATGTAAATAGAATTTCATAGATGCACTCACGGATAAAAGTTCTTTGACACGTCTGATTCCCCGAGCTTCTTCAACGAGTTTTAGAACCGTTTCTTTATCAATCCAGATGGCGCTGTAGTGTCTCATTTGGGTTCGGCACAGTTTCGAATTGGAGTTTAAAGAAATTTTCATCCTCGATTTGTGTAACTTTTATCTCACGTTGGCTACATAAAGTATATGACATAAAACTGAAGAGAGGGGAACTGAAATGATTCTCGCTCTCTCTCTCTCTTTCTCTCGTCTTTTAAATTTATTTTCCTTCCTCAGAGAAAATCTGAAGGTAGGATGGTCAGGGATTGGCTGAGTTTGAGATGGTAGAATGAGATTAAAAGCTGGAGTCAGCTGGGAGGTGAAAGATCTGAAAGGATTGTTAAAGACAGCTAGAAAACTCTTTGTGTCTGTAGATCGTCTCTTTTTACTACTCTACGAACCCTAGGCTAGAAATTCCGAAGCATTTATGGACGGAATAATACATCGGTGTCTATGGCTTCGGGTTCACGAGTCTGAATATCGGGGTCCATAAAGCAGTAAAAGAGGCATCAGAATTGTGTTCACGATTGTAGGCCTACATGTACAGTACGTGAGTGTTTGTGCATCTTATGTACAATCAAAGACAAAAGTCGTGTCGCGGTTTTGTCCGAAGATTAAATATAACTGGTGAAACATTATGAGAGCCCCCTACCACAAGGCAGAGCACACCAAAAGCTTAGCCCTTCGGCATATGTTTTCACCAAATTTCACGACACGACTTTTGTCTTTTGTTTACACTACATATGACTGTATTCATGAGTACCTGGAATAATTAAACAAAGGCAGAATTAAACATGTAGTATACAAAAACAATTTGGATAGAATTAATCGATAGACCTCCTTATCTCGAAAGAGTTAATGAGCAACTTATTTGGGATGAAATAGGCAGGCTTCCAGACATAGCAATTTCTGTATTGTAGGCGACTTCAACTATCAAATGGATTGGACTAACCTTACTGGTAACTACTGGAAGCAATAATTTCAAACTCAATTCAAAATTGCCTCAAGGAACACAAATTGATCAATGATTCCCAGCCTAGGTTCACAAGTGGGCGTTCATATCTGACAGATTTTTTATCATTCTTTTCAACTGTTTTCGAATCAGTGGATGGCGGGCATGATTATGATGTAGTTTACCTCGAATTTAGCAAAGCCTTCGACAGTGTCCTTCACAAAAAACTAATGCGTAAAGTAGAGTCTCAAGGAATTGGAGGTGTTCCAAACTGGATTAGGGCGTGGTTACAGGACAGGGAACAGAGAGTCAGTATTAATGACACCAAATCCGATTGTGATATCGTCACAAGTGGAGTATCCCAGGGCTCAGTACTTAGACCATTAATATTTATCATGTACTTATGTGACCTGGATATAGGCGTAAAGAACAACATAAGTAAATTTGCTGGCGACACTAAAATAGGGCGTGTAATAAATCTGTCGAGGTCTCTGCAAAACTACAAGAATATCTAAAAAAAAAAATCTCATGGTCTGAAAAATGGCAGATGAAATTTAATGTGGACAAATTTAAAGTACTTAGCCTAGGAGATGTAAACAGCGAAACCAGATATCAGATGAACAAAGCTAATATAGAGAAATCTGACCGTGAGAACGATTTTGGGGTAATGATAAACAGAATCTTAAACAAAGACAACACTGTAAGTTTGTTCCAAACAGGGCTACCAAATTACTAGGTTTCATGCACAGGAGTGTTAGTTACAAGCCTAGTGAGGTTATCCTAAACTATATCTTGCACTTGTTAGACCTCACTTGGATTATGCAGTTAAATTTTGGTCACCGTACCACAGAATGGATATCGAATCCCTAGAAAGCATACAGAGGAGGATGACAAGACTAATCCCGGGCAATAGAAACGTTGAGTATAGCGATAGGTTAAAGAGATATAACATAGGCACTCAAACTATCCATCCAGGAGCGAACTCGCAGAAATGGTTGTAAATTGGACAAATTTTGATTTAGGCGCCAGTATGTAAACACTGGTTGGAAAAGAGTAGTGGATGAGTTGAACACATTACCAAACATCATCATTAACTCGAATACGCTGGGTAGCTTCCCTTACAGGTGTATAGCTTGGGCGGATATATTAGTGATAGGGTTGGGTGTAAACGGGACTGCCTAGTATAGGACAATAAGCCTGCTGCAGTTTCCTCCATTCTTATGTTCTTATGCTCTTAGAGAGAAGAGGTTAATAAGTGTATTCACTACAGAGGTCACCAACATTTTATGAGAAAATATCTATACAACACCAAAATACACACAAATGACACTACGCAATATATAAAATATCAAATTCAAAAAAGCTAAATATTCTTTGTATACCTCCTAGCATAACCTAACGCACAATTGTCTTCATATTGCTCAAGGTAAAAACTTATTGGTACTAGAGAGGACTAATAGTTGTTTTTGTGAGGCGGTCGACTGTAATTAAATTGATTTTTTTAACTAGTCACATACCATCATATATAAATGTCACTTCTCATTAACTGTGATAAATTCACTTTAAAAACCTTTTTCTAAGTCAAGTTAGGAAAGATGGGCAGTGAGTAGCCATTCATAATCAATTAAGGATGATAATATAACTCATAATTTATTTAGTCATGTTTACATAATGTCTTATTTTTCAACACGTATTTAGTTTTATGTCTTTTCAATAATAATAATTTACTGTTACTAATGTCAGCTGGTTAATATTCTTGTACATCAGTTGCTGTGTGGTCGAGCAACATCCTACCTAGAGTGAAGGATGTTATTTGTATCTCGGCTGAGAATAACAGATTCTCTCATAAAGTTTTACGTTAACTTTTTGAGGACAATGGTTTAGAAGTACCGACCTTAAAGGTTTATATCTTCATCCTCAAAAGGTTGAGCTACCGTCCTCAAAAGATTAAAACATCATCATTAAAATGTTAAATATTTGCCCTCAAAGCATTAAGCCATAATCCTCAAAGGGTTAATTATTTGTCTTAATAATGTATTATTTTCGGACGATTATAAAATGACTGCTTATTGTATATCCAGCGCATGCAGTTACACTTGACCGAGACTGACAAACAGTAACAAATAGCTACTACATCAGGTCTTGAAAAGTGATATAATAGAACACTAGATTAAAGCCCCAGGAATCTTATTTAAGTACATGCCTATTTACAACTAATCATAACACCGACTAAAGGTTAGACGAGCCATGACAAGCCACAGATGTCTCCAGTCTGTGGCTTGTGTGGCTCTAAGTTAACATAGAGATTTAATGATAACGAACAGTAGCGCTGAAGTGGGTGTCAGGGACCAGACCACACACAGGTGTCTCCGAGCTGTGGCGGGCGGGTTCCTGGTGGATACTGATGCCTCGAATACGCAGGTAAGACAGTGAACCGATGACAGATGGTAAGATTAAGACAGGCCGCACGCACCTACATTTAGTTAGAAGGTGCGCGAGTCGTGGTTCAGTACTGGTGTAAAGTGAAGGCGGCCATGGTCATCCTCCTAGTCTCTCCAAACCATATCTAGGTGGACAGTTATTTACTACACTACGGCCATCTTTAGGGCACCTTTGAGAACCTCAAGCTGGTGGGGCCACAGCTGGCAGGATCGCTATTGGCAAGGATGTAGATGGAAGAACGTGCCTGGCAGGGCCGTGTTTAGTGAAGCTTGTAGATGAAAGGGAACTGGATTACACTACTGAGGTCTCCAGCGAATGTCTGGTGGCGAGGTGGCTCCTGGCGTTCTGTGGGGTGGCGTGAGGGCTGGGTCTCAAGGACAGCGACGTCTCTAGGATGATGGTACTCTTGGTGCTCTTGCGGCGGTGGGTAACAGGATATCCCAGCTGCTGCATCCGGTACTGCCGCCACCGCTTCCGTAGCAACTCCTGCACCTCGCCGTTCAGAAAGCAGTACAGCACCGAGACGAAGACACCCTATTGGGAGAGAACGGAGGATGATGTGTTATGATATCAAGAACTTAGCAGAGCATAAATAAGATAAGATATGGTACTTCAGTGTACAAGGGTAAAAAAAAAAATCTGCCTGTAGGTTATGTATCTAAGCAACTGTGCCGTGTAGCAACCTTGTATATAAGCTACTGTGCCGAGTAGCACTTATGTATATAATTACGTGGCAACACTGCACGTGTTATGTGGCAACATTGCCCCGAGGCTGCCATATGGCAAGGTAGCCTCAGTCTGACTGTGTGAGCCGTGCATGGCACATGCTAGTCACCACTTGTATTTCTCTCATACATAATAAACGGACTTCATTGTTACCCGGTGTTTCCCTACCCATCACTGCATTCTTCAGGGAACACTTGTAACCATCATGGCACAGTGACTGGGATCTGTGGACTTACAAGTGTGTAAACAATGCCGAGACAGTTGCGTCTGCCGGTGATGCGCATCGACTCATAGTGTGTTGTGTTGTGTTGCGCTGTGTTTCGCCGCGATGTGCAGTGTTGGGCCGCCACAGTGCGATTTAGTGACGGTGGCAGTGTTAGTGTCAGTATATTAGTGTGTGTCTAGAGCTGAGAGTTGAGCATTGGCCTGTTTTTTAGTGGTACCCACGGAGCACGCAGGCGTACACCCTTCTCGTATGACATCCCGGGAGACACTGATGGTCTCACCCCCACCCCCGCCGAGTCTCTAGCCACCGGCATTAAGGCCACCACGAAGTGCTCTCTCAGACACACTCACACACATCACACACGCACGCATGCACTCACTCACGGACAGAACAGAGCGTTATTCTGCGCTGTTTATGTCATATATATGTGGTTCGAGCTGTTGAGGCGCCACTTTATATACTAAACAGTGCAGTCCACGCACACACAAAGATGGGCGGTAAGAAGGGACAACGTCAAGATGGGAGACACGACTCCCCACCACCTTCCCCTCCACCGGGCGCAGACTCTCATCCTCCACCTCCAGTGACGGACATTGCCACAATTCTGAGGTGGATGGACGACCGGGACGAGAGACGCAGAGAGCCGGAACTTCAGAGGGAGGAGACACGAAGAGAGGAGGAAAAGTCGCGTTTTGAGGCACTATTGGCGACCCTGGCGCTAACCCACCCTCCCTCACTCGCGGGTAGCGCGCTTCAAGGCGCCAATATCCTCCCTCCTCCACCAGACCAGCGTCCTCCAGGTACTCTTGCTTCCAAACAAACAGCTCCCAAGGCATCTGTTCAACCCCCACCCGCCCTCTCACCAGACATCACGTTTCAGCTTTTTCGTTTGTGGAGGGGGCGTTGGACAGATTACTCCACGATGGTGGACCTTGACAGCATGCCTCCAAACAAACAGCTCATCCAACTGCGGATGTGTTTGTCGCTGGAGACCCAGAGAGTTTTGGAGCACACATTGCAAGTGCCTCCCAATTCTACATCTTCAGTGACGGATGTGCTCGACCTTTTACAGGAGCACGTTAAAGGTCGGAATAACGAGGCTCTGTGTCGCCGCGCCTTCACCAGCTGCAAGCAGGCGGAGAACGAATCCTTTGACGACTTTTTTGTACGCTTGAAGAGTTTGTCAGAGGAGATCGACGTCTGCAAGGCGCACAGCCGGGAATGTGAGGAAGCCTGGATCAAGCACGGGATCTTGAGAGGTGTCAGGCAGGAAGAGTTGGTGCAGCGACTCATCCCCTGGACGCTTCCTCCACACTCCAGGTGGTAGTGACTGAATGTCGGTCATACGAGGCCACCAACTCCGCCACCTCTGCCTTACGGGCCCCTCCTGCTGTGAGAGCAATCTCTCAGTACAAGAAGGGTAAGAAGGCGGCCAACAACGCGAAGGCTGCCACACGTTCTTCCACGCCTCCGCCTAGTGCTTCCTGTGGCAGCTGTGGAAAGCAGCACAGCCCCAAATCATGCCCGGCCGCCGACGCACTGTGTCGTGGATGTGACCGTAGGGGCCACTGGTCTAACACAGACAGGTGCCCTGCACGAGGCCACAAGTGTCAGACCTGCGGTCGCTATGGACACTACGACAAGTGCTGCCGCCAACCGATGCCCAAAAGCCCGAGACGAGGAGGAAAGCAGCGCACTTCCCTCGAGGTGGTTCGCACGCAGCCCTCTCCAGATGGCCCACGCAGCCCCAAGCAGCAGCAGAGTCACATCAGGAGGGTGGAATCGACCACACGCCCCAGGGCTACCCCTTCCCCTACCATCCGCGTCGCCGTCACACACGGTGATGTGTCGGGTCACATCGAGGTGATACAGGACACTGGCGCTGTTACTACGGTGATTGGGTTGAAGCACTTCCAGAAACTGGGCCTCACCAAACGTGACCTGGGACCACCGCCGCAGCTGTTGTACTACAATGTGGACGGTTCCCAGATGCTGGACGCTGTGGGCTCCTTTCAAGAGGAGATCACTTACGGCGACAGGTCGTGTCACGGATGGATCGACGTGCAGCCTACTCTCGCTACACCCTTGTTGTCGTGGGAGCACCTCAAGGGGTTATGCGTGGTGCCCAGAGACTTTCCCGAGCAGATCCCAGCTGCTCGTTACACCGCCAGCAGGGTGCGTGAGTTGACGAGCGACACGCCTGGCGCTGCTGCACAGAGCTGCCCAGAACCCGCGTCCACTCCCACCCACACAGGACGCTCCCCTGCGCAGATCCTGTATGGTCACCCTCTCCGCTCTTGCGTTCCTGCACACGCCAAGGCCTTTGCGAAGGAGTGGCAGACCAGAGCCGAGAGCTGCGACCGCCGCGCCGCTTCACGTGCCCAGGACGCCAAGGCTTGGTATGACGACCGTGCCCGCCCTCTTCAGCCATTGGAGATTGGTGCCCTTGTCCACGTCCAGGACCCGACGACGACACGTTGGGACAAGGTGGGCATAGTGATGGGCGTCGGCTGGTCGCGGGACTACAAGGTCAGGATGCCAAGCAGCCGTGTCTGATGGAGGAACCGCCGCTTTCTCCGGCCAGTCCCACCCCCTGCTGCTGGCCCCCTGATCGAAGACGAGTCACCTACACCTCACGAGGATCCGCCCCACAGTGCACCTCGACGCTCGGAGCAACTTAGGACTAAGAAAACCGCTCAAGACAAAGACTATGAGCGTGATGGGGGAGGGAGATGTAGGTTATGTATCTAAGCTACTGTGCCGAGTAGCAACCTTGTATATAAGCTACTGTGCCGAGTAGCACTTATGTATATAATTACGTGGCAACACTGCACGTGTTATGTGGCAACATTGCCCCGAGGCTGCCATATGGCAAGGCAGCCTCAGTCTGACTGTGTGAGCCGTGCATGGCACACGCTAGTCACCACTTGTATTTCTCTCATCCATAATAAACGGACTTCAGTGTTACCCGGTGTTTCCCTACCCATCACTGCATTCTTCAGGGAACACTTGTAACCATCACTGCCCACCTGGGTTCGGCGTTTGGAACTTAACACAACGTACAGCAGATTTAGTTCAGTTAGTATTTTTGAATGTGTTACACCTGATAACAACTATGATAACTGCAGTATACCACCTAGATTATTTTCCAAATAATTTAATGAAATAGAATGAAATATGATACCATATGCAAAATAAATGACGAAAAGAGGGGCGGATAGCTTTTATTTTTGTGTGTGCACATTTGTAATGGCCCCTGTCTCATCAAGTATTATATAAATGGGTTCTTTACATTTGATTTATATTCAAATTCATCCCCTGTAAGTTTCCACTAGCTATGAGGAGGACATGAACAGTAGCTTCCCCAAGAGGGTGAAGCCCATATGTCAGCAACTATGTAAGCGCGCACCAATGTGACGCCCTTAGTCAGTCTCACTCACCAACTAATATCGAACGGACGTTGATTCACGTCTATTTACATAGACGTGAATCAATAGTGGAACTCATAAATAGTGGAACTTATGGTTGATCTCCACTCAGGAATTATACACAAAATTTTTTTTAATAAAACAAGAAACTTCAATTGGGTTTCGTTACTAAAGCTCAATATAATATATGTGTACCAACCTGGTTAACTTGGAATTAACCAACCAGTTCATATAAGGTGGCAGCTCGTGTGGGTACGGAAACGACATATCAGTCTATGTACCAAGACGTCAGTGTTTTGTGAAAACAAGAAAAAAAAAAACAGTGAAGAGTTTCATAATACATCCAAGTGTTGTACTTTATCCCGTATTGAGACGATAATTAGTGAGTGCTTCTCATTTCTGTAGCCCAGAAGAGGTGCAGAATTATTATTATATCATACAGCCTCTTTGGTGAAATCCCTGTTAGTAACAGGTGTGGTCCCCCAAGAAAGCATAGTGTCAGTGATCTACGAATGTGTGTTCTACAGTGTTGCAGACATTCTCATGAACATTACTAACAAGCAGACATTTCACAAGTAGCTGGACGGTTGTGTGGTTTCGATAGCGTTGATTGCAGTATTTCTGGTGTCATGAGACAGTTCTCCATATATACGAGACTGCAGTATTTTGGCACACGGCAGAGGCGACATCGTATCAGCGGCAGAAGGACCTGATTCATCTTTGGTCAGCGGCATCTGCTCTACTGTGGAGGTATCCCCATGTAATGAAGTGGACTCACCCTACGTCGTGATTGCAGCTCGTCATCCTCGTTGCTAGGGCAACCGGCCAGAGGCGCGCGCACAGGAACGATTGAGGAGGCACCCGCCTACTCCCTCACCCCACCACAGATAGTGGCTGGACGGATCTCGTTTTCTATACAGACGCCATAACTCCTGTATTAGGTATTTCAAAAGAATACATAGTTTATGAACACATTAACACGTTCGAGACATAACTCCACATTGATAGGACATCGGATAGGGTATATCATTGAATTAGGTGTCTTTAGCATATTCGTGTGTACTGATGTAATATAATTTGCAGTAGTTATTTCTTATCTGTTCAATTATTGATATTTTAATTATTTTAACTATAATTTTTATAATTTCCTGTAC